GCACTGATCCCTGAGGGACTCCACTTAGTGGTGTTCTTTTAGGAATATTGCAGTGGACAAAGGGAAGGTTTTCTGTGAAATGGCTCCAGTTGTCCCCTTTCTAATACTGGGGAAGTGAATTGTTTGTCTGATGTGAGGTGGGGTCTATGAGAGGAAGTGGGACAGAGTCTGGTACTGTGGGTTTGGTTTTCTTTGGAATCTAGCGTTCTCTGCAGGGTGTGTCAGCAAGCTTCCAACTCATACTTATTCCTGTGCCAGGGTGGACATGCATCTAACAGATTGACCATGAGAGATGAAAATGAGCACCACAGATTTCTGTCCAAATTTGGGTCTTAAGAAGCGTTATCCAACTGACAAGCGATACACTTGGATCAACAGTATACTTCACAACAGCATGCACACATTGTGGTGCTGAGAAATTTTTTTGTTAACTTTTTAAAAAGAAAGGTTGAGTAGATGTATAATATTTGAAAATAAGATGACCTTAAGTACGCTGGCTGTGGTTAGTGTTGAAGTGTGTCTGTTACAGCGGTTTGAAACTCGTCTCCTCTAGTGCTGCCCTGGCCTCAGCACTGGGCTTGGGTAGGTGTGCTCTTCTCTTTGTTAGCAGTTTAATTCAACTGTTGGGAAAAGTGAAAACTGTTTACCTGGGTGACCTAGTGCCTAATGGAAGATGCTCTGTTTGTGACTCGGTTCTTGGGAAGTGTCAGGTGCCTGCAGTGGGTGCCAGGATGCTGGTGCCAAGTGCTCTTCCTGGAAGGCAAAACCTCCAGGAGCAAGTCCTGGAGTGAACAGACTCAGCTGAGGCCATATGGAGCCAAGGTGATTCTGAGGGCTCCAGGAGTGAGATGGGACTGAGCTGGCACCCAGCTGTAGCCTGTATTGATGAAGCAGCAGCTTCAGGTCTGAAGGCTCTCTCAGTAGCAGGTGTGGTACCAAATCTGTAGGACTTTGTTGCATACGTCTGTGGAGAGGCACTGGAGACAGGCTCCTAGCTCCTTGTTGAAAATCTTGACAACAAAAGAAATATTTTTGTAAAAAACCACTCTGTTCAATTCTAACTTGGAGACAGATCTTGATGTAAAGAATAAGCAAGTTAACACAGATGTTAGGGGACAGAGAGAATGAATTAAATAGCATTATAAGGTTAGTGTATAGTCAACTGATTATGCGATTTGTCCCCAGTCTACTATTATTTCTAGACTACAACTGCATCATTTCCAAAATGTCAGTGGATATTTACACAAGCTAAAATACTTATTAATCCAAAGAAGTTGCACATACTTCAACAGTCCTCTTTTCCTCATTCTTCAACAATGGGGAAAAAAATGCCACTAATTCATTTCCTTGGTTTCAGTTTCTCTGACTTGGATATTTTACACCAGGAGGATTTAAAATTCATTATTTTATTCCTGATAACTGGGCCACTTCCTTAATTTCTATTACCTTTGAGTGTAACTAAGAGAATTCTATCATTTGTGCAGTTACAGATTTACCCTTTTGGCACAGGGCTAGTGAATATCTTGTGTGCTTATCTATATAGTATATGGGTAAATTATAGATATATAGATAAAAAAATGATCATAGCTATATATAATACATATTAAACAAATAAGATGTTAAACACGATGCAGAAATATAGAAAAAGGTAGGAATGTGAGACCATCCTAGTCAATCTGAGTTAGAAATCCTCTGTCTGAGCTGTTGGCTTGCCAGAAGGAAGCAAATTTTCTCACTCCCTACGTAAACCACTGTTCTCCAGGAGCCAATTGGGCAAACCTGTGTTTTGTCAGGAATCCCAGCAAAACAAGGTGTCTTACCCTCAGTGGCAAACTACAGTCTTTGGAAAACTTGGAGTTTTTTTATTGGTTGTAATTATTTTTATAGGATCTACCAAACCCACCAAATACATGGAGAATCTGATTATCGTCTCACACACAGAACAGAAATAATTTTTCAAAGGTATATTTTAGTAGTGAAGTGAATCTACTCCAGTATAAAGCTGATGTAGCTGGGAAAGAAGTGAAATTGTCTTGATTCAAACTGTGTAAAATGAGACCATAATTTAGCTTTTTATTAATAGATACCATTGTGTATGCATATCCTTGTTTCTTCAAGGAAGGATTTTTAAACCGTATGTTTTGAATAAAATTAAAAGCAAAATAATGATCTAAAAGGATGGCAATGTCTCGTATTGACAGGTACCTACCTCTGTACAGATACAGCAGCCAGCAAAAGAAATTATCCTGAGATAAACATTGTAAAATGGGTTCCAATTCTAACAGTGATTATCCTGAAGTTAGTTACAGTTTTCAGATTCTATGGGGAAAACAGCCAAAAGAGTGGCTGGTGGCAGTTACCATGTTACATCCTGTTGATTTGCTTGAGATCTGCATGGCCTTTTTTCTTTCTTTGCCATAATTAAAGTGCAGTTTATCTCCACAGCTACAGTCTTTCTCGAGTTTTGGAAAAGGCGGAGAGCTGTATTGACCTATGACTGGGACCTCATAGACTGGGAAGATGAAGAGGTAAGACTAACCAGAATTAAACCTGTAAATCCTGCTATCAGCATGATTTAAATGTAAATATCAATACATATTGTATGCCAGTAATAAGTTGTTGTGCAGATTATATTTGTATTTGTAACACTAGTTGCAGAATAAAACAAGTACAGGTATACAAGGATTCTTTGCCTTCTGCAACTAGCACTATAATTCCAAATATAATTCTACTATTAAACGTATCCTTCGAAAAAATGAGTGGAAATAATGCCTCTACAGAGGATAGGAGCTACTACTGCTATCAGCAAACAAGCCTTTCAATTGTATAGTTTCTTTTACTGGAAATTCCTAATTCTGCATAAAAACAGGACCAAGACAAGCAAAGGGACAGAAACTAGATTTTATACCCTTCTGAGAGGCATAACATACTTTAACATTCTTCTGTCAGCATCAGCAATGATAAAATGATGTTACGACTTAATTTCATAAATCACCAGTGAACATAGCTGTAATTTAACTAGACTGGTGATTTAATTGCAGTCTTAATCAATAGAGACTTTACTATTACTTGTTTTGTAGCTCTCCGCAGAAGCGTAGATACAAGCTGGTGGCCTTTAATACATGGTTTCATATCACAAAAAGCCCAGTCATAATTGGCATTAATTTCTAGTCTTCTTATCAATCTCTGCAGAGAAACTAGTGTTTAAGTTGGTGTCATGACCCGTGATCCTTTTAATACCCTCTTATAGTGGGGAAGGCTCTGACAGCATTTGTTCTTTGTTGGTCTCTGGCACCGTTTCTGAGGATTTTCAAAAGAGCAAATTATGTGGATATTGGAGTTGGAACATTATAAAAAAGAATTTATATCCATTAAGTGTCCTACTTTATAGCACATATATGCATCTGATTTTTGATACTTCAGTCAAATAAGTAGTACAACAAATGGAATCTGCCCTGTCATTCCAGGAAGAGCTGCGCCCCCAGTTTGAAGCTAAATATTCCCAAGTGGAAAGAGTAAATCCCATCACAGGAAAACCTGAACCTTTTCAGCCTTTCCCTGATAAGCTCAGTCGACTGATGGTGTCTGTCTCAGGAATATTCTTCATGGTAATTAATGTAGCTTTTAATCTTATTCTGGTATGAATAGTAGCAAAGGTCTGAGTGCATTCATTAAGATGAGTGGATTTACATAATACAGGTAAAACCAATTGTCTCAGTCTTACTGATTGTTCATGGATCCTTTTCTTTTAACAGATGTAATATAATTATGTTGTAAAAGAATAAAAGAACAGTAAAAAAATCTTTAAATTCAAAATGTAGTTCATTCTTTCAAAGTCTACTCACCAAAGCCAATGTAAATCTTTAAAACACCTGCTAATTTATGAATTCCATGGCAGTTATTTCACACACAGTTTATTTTGCTCTAACATCTCTCTTTATAAATGCTTCCCTGTAGATTTCACTGGTCCTCACTGCAGTGTTTGCAGTTGTGGTGTACCGTCTGGTAGCCATGGAACAGTTTGCTTCTTTCAAGTGGTATTTCATCAAGAAGTATTGGCAGTTTGCTACATCTGGCACTGGAGTCTGTATCAATTTTATGATCATCATGTCACTCAACGTTGTAAGTTTTCTGTTCTTTTAAGGGAGGGGTTAATTAAAAGAGTAATTTTTACAAGGTTACTGAGTTTGGTGTAGATGAGATATATATGTTCTTGCTTATCCATACAGCAGTGCCCAAAGCTAGTATTTCAAGGAGTTTTCCTCCTCTAATAGTGTATTTGTCAAAGTTTGAATTGTTATTAACCTCTAGATTAAAGTACATCTATTGTTTCTATAGCCTCTCTCATTTAAAATGAAGGTGTGATACCAGTGTTGCACAGTTCTAGAATCACTGTGATACATAATTTCAATTTAAGCTTTTCCTATTGTGTAACAGCACAGGTTTAATCATTTGCTGTGGTAGCACAATGTACATTGAAGTAAACTCTATTCCTTCAGCTGCAATATAATTTATCATTTTTCTATTCCTGTGCAGGCACAAACAGGTAGAAGGAGTAATAACACAGCAAACAGTAGCTTTTAATTCTGTTAAGGAGATCATGCACTCACTGCAATAAGAAAGCATTCTCCAAAATAGACTATCATGTATTTATTTCTGTTATTATGTATGATAATTCTGTCATAAAAAGTGCATTCAAGTGAACAAACACACCAAATTTATTGAAAATAGCTTGCTATTAATAGCAAGGAATACTCAAGGGAATACTTTTCAGAGTTGGGCTAAGTGTCATGTAAAATAAAGACTGGAGATAGTGAATTTATAAACAAATCAGGATGTTTTCAGTAGAAGGCTGATACCAGTATGCAAATGCATGCAAAGGAAAATTGTTCTGTCTAAAGGCTTTTGTCTGCTTTTGGATCACATAGGTTTGTTTCTGAAGTTAGAGGATAAGCATCTAGCTGTTAATTAAAAGGACTATTTATGTCTGAACACTTCTCTTGATTTATTTGCTCTTGATTTATCTTTATTGTATGTTTAATAGCTACATACATACATTTACATGGATAAAGAGACCACGATTAAAGTAGTTCAGTGAAGTCTTAGTAGGAAACTACATCCACATGTAGTTACAACATCACCCTCCCTTCTCTGGCCAGATACCTTGATGCTGTGGGCCACAGAGCACCTATGCTGTTCATGCTTGGTTTCATTCTGGGTTTGACATCACAGCAGACAGGACGTGCTATGCTTATAACATCTCTTTTTTCTGTTGTAGGTATATGAAAAGGTTGCCTATCTCCTCACAGACTTAGGTATGTAGCTCATTATTAGTGGTATGGTGCTTGATAGCTGTGGCACATACCATTATGTTTACAAAATAATATGGTTTTGAAAGCCTTATCTATGCATATTACTGTTCTGGCATTTCCCTAATCAAGTGAGAAATATCAGAGAAAGAAAGGATATTATTCTTTCACTGTGGCAATAATTGAAAAGAAAGGAATTTATTCTTACACATCTACATTTCTTTTTATGTTTTGTGGTATAAATTGAAAAAAACTGTCATCTTACAATGGAAGAAAAGTCACTACATGTTCTCTTCGAATGCTAAAACATTTTTTTTTCCATTTTTCCCAAATATGTGGTTATTTTTTCTATAATTTTTTAATTTAATCTTTTGTATGGAAACAATAGTTTAATATAAACTTACATTGCCCATAATAAAAATGCTAAGTCATGAATTTTGAAGTAGCTCTAATTCTGTCACATTAAAAATTTATACTGAAGCCTCTAGTTGTGTTGCAGTCATAAAGCTTTTTCTAGCTTATAGAAAACAAGAAAGCAAAGACAGCATTTATGATCTCCTACTATATGAGTATGCCAAGTTTTAGTGTTTCTTCCTGCATGTTCTCTTTTAGCCCACATCAAAATTTGATCTTGTCATGCTTTGAAAGCAATCTCACTGTTCAAATTTAACAGCTCCCTCTCCTGGTTATAGTGTTGAAAATCATGCACTAAACATGCTCAAAAATTTACAGGGTTACAGGTAACAGGCAGCTGAACAGGTTGGAAAGATTCAGAATGTATAGCCACCTTCCCCAAATTATTAAAATACTTTAAAATATTTTTTCAGGTCACACTGATTTGTATTCCTACTTTGTTTTTTAGTAGATGATATTGTTAAAGCTCAGGGAATGGGAAAGAAAATAATGATTTCTTTTAAGTGTACAAGGTGATTTTTCCCCAAATATGCAAACGTATTTTAAAAAATTAATTGGAACCTGATGAGGCACCATGAATTGAAAATATTGTTTGTTTTGTTAGTGCTTATTGATCCATGAACAAAGTTAGGCATAACTCAATTTCATTTTTGTTTATATGATGTCTGTGGTGTCTTTTGGCAGAGCACCCTAGGACAGAATCTGAGTGGGAAAACAGCTTTGCCTTGAAAATGTTCCTCTTCCAGTTTGTCAACTTGAACAGCTCCATCTTTTACATTGCCTTTTTTCTTGGCAGGTAAGTTATCTTTGCTAACTGCACTTAAAGGAAAACTGGCAGAGAACTCGTAATCCTTGCTAATTTTACAGGTTTGAAGAAAACACAGTGACAGTTTGGACTGTAATATTTGATGTCAGTCAGCTTCTGAAGATAATAACACTAAATTAGTATTTTTAATTGTATGTGAGGGTTGGACCTTTGAAAACTTTACTCATGAATCTAAACAGTAAAAAGTCTACTTTTTAAGGGGGTTTATGTACATGACTTCCCTACAAAATGAGAATTCAGAACCTTTGAAAATACAGCTACTTCCTAAATATGGATCTGTATTTAGTGCTGTGCTAATAGACTTTATTCATTTTTTCTTGTTTATCCCCTAACCCTAACCCCTAACCCCTAACCCTAACCCTGCGATTACATTTCCCAAGGTCCATTTCTATGAGTAGTAAATACTGTCTGGCAAGTCTTACACAAGAGTAGGAAGCAGAAAAGCTGGCTTCAGTTTTTGTGTGTATCTTTAGCTCAGAGAATGAGACACTGGACAGGTCTAACCTTACTTCCTCTTCACTTCCATTTCACTATGATCACAGTTACCAGTTTTGCAGAACCTACAGAGTATTTCAGAGTACCCTTCTGAAAAGTTTTATAATACAATTTCAGTTCAAGATCATTTGGAAAAAAAAACACCAAACTTCTAGTACAGACTGTTGGTAATATCTGGTTATTACATCCAGTGATGCATTTGCCATACAGTTTTTAAACTTTGTATCTTCCTATCTCCTGGGGCTAGTAGGACCAGGCATGGGTTTTTTTTCTGTCATTTATAACTTTCACTGAAGTTGTTAAGTATCTTGGTTCTGTTCATTTTACCAGAATCTGTTAGATCTGTAAAAAGCATTTATGATTTTATGCTTGTATGACTAAGGGTGCAATCCAGTGCACACTTGATGTAGGCAAGCAGATCACTCTGCTGCAGTACATTCCTGTGGATTGCAATGGCTTATCTTCTTCCAAGTAGATTAGAGTCTGAACTTCTAAACATCTAAAACCACTGAAGCCAGGATTCTTGTTCTGGACATAGTAAAAGCTTAAGATCTCTTGCAAAATGATGGTCCTTGTTTGATTCTAAAACTTCCATATCCTACAGATACCAGATTTAAGCCTGTGTGATTTAATCTGTTTATATTTTATGAATGTGCTTGGTGGATGTTGTGAAATAACTACTGATACAGGGTGTTCTTGGAATGTCCACTGAGAAGCAGAAATCTTATTTTCTAGATTTGCAGGCCGCCCAGGAAAGTACAACAAGCTTTTTAACAGATGGAGACTGGAAGAGGTAAGCAACCCTATTTTGTGTTCCTGTGAAATTTCCATGAGTGAAAAGGAAGTGGCTGAAGGACATGAATTATGTCCAGTTTGAAAGATTTATTATTCCATCTAAGGGCAATGAAGAGTAAACTCTTTGCTCTTATTTATAGCAACGGATAGGAAACAGGAGATGTGTTTTTCCTTCTGCATTCTTCACTGTGCTGAGTGACTCTGCCCAAGACACATAGTTCTTCCTGCCTCTCTCTTTGGGAAAAGCAAACAGGGATAGTTCCTTACCTCACAGGCACTCTTAAGTCCTACATGATTGGAATCTCCTGGGCACGTGCAGGTTTTGGATGGAGGACATAAAGCTGTCAACTTTTTTATCAGCTTCTTAAGTTTCTGCCAGCACTGGAAAGTCATAGACCTGTTGGAGCAGGTCTGGAGGAGGGTCACAAAAATGATCAGAGCACTGGAGCACTTCTGCTGTGAGGCCAGGCTGAGAGAGGTTGGATTGTTCAGGCTGGAGAAGAGAAGACACTGGAGAGACCTTGTGGCCTTCCAGTACTTAAAAGGGGGCATATAATAAAGATGGGGACAGACTTTTTAGTGGGACAGAGGGTGATGGTTTTACACTGAAGAGGGGAGATGTAGACTAGACGTAAGGAAGAACTGTTTTACAGTTAGGGTGGTGAAACATTGGGATGTGCTGCCCAGAGAAGTGGTAGATGCCTCATCCCTGGGAACATTCCAGGACAAGTTGGAGAGGGCTCTGAGCCATCTGATCTAGCTGAAGGTGTCGCTGCTCACTGTAAGGGGGCTTGGACTAGATGATCTTTGGAGGTCCCTTCCAACCCAAAGCCGTTTATGATTATATGATTTAAAAGAAGAAAAACAGTATTTTCAAAATTTAGCTTGAAAATGTGTTAGAATTGCACCCCCCAAACTGTCACAATCACGCTAAACTTAAGTCTTGTCTCTGAAAAACAGTTTTTTTTCTGTTGAACCTTGGTAACTGCAGAGTAAAATACCATATCTTTGTAGTCCATGATCTAAAAAACTTTGTGTAATCACTAAATATTTTAATATGGCAACTTATCTAGTAATGGTACCAGAGATTCATCTACTGAGTCTCTATTTAGACTTAGGACATCACAGGTGAAATACTGCTGCATTCTTTCAAAATGAATATGTATGTATTGGTCTAAGTGAAATGTTCTATATCATTTATCAGATATCTAGCACACATACCCTTAGCTTAGGTAATGCAGTCCAGTTCTCCAAGAAATACGATGTCTAAAGGTGGTTCAACTGAAGTGTGTGTTCTATTGCTGTTATTCATATTTATTTTAACATTTCTGTAACTGGAGGCGAGTGTTTTTCACCAAACATGTTTGAATATTTTTCATTCACCCTCTGAACAAATAAAACTGAAAGAAATCCTCTGACTTCAGCTATTATCTTTTTCCACTTAATTTCAGTGTCATCCTAGTGGCTGCTTGATAGATCTCTGTTTGCAAATGGGAGTTATTATGGTTTTAAAACAAATGTGGAACAACTTCATGGAACTAGGCTATCCGTAAGTTCAGATGTTAAAATTTATTTGACAAATAGTGATTACATATTAGCATGAGTCAGTGATAGGGGAAAATATTTTAATGTTTAGAGAAAGTTTTCACTTTTGCATCTCATGTACTGTATCTTTGTTCCCAAGGGAAGCATTAACTGCTGCTCCAAGATAAAGCTTCTCAGGGTATGTTAACCATCTAAACTGTTTATTTGGCTTTCATTTTGCATAATACAAACAGAGCTGTTGAGCTACTGAAGAGAGTAATGGGCTAAGAGTCTTACAGTTCTCTTGAAACTGGAAGAAAGTGTTTTCAGTAAAAGGTTGCTCATCAAATATTAATTAAATCAAAATCACAAGCTTGAAAATGTCAGAAGGGTTATGCTCACAATGTGCAATCATTCTGCAGAGGGGCAGTGTGCTCAGCTGTCCTGAGACATGGATTTCTGAAAAACAGAAACCTACCTGAAATATCAGCCTTCCTGTCTTCTTGGCCCAGCAGTCTTAGCTCAGTCTAGAATTTATTTTAGAAGATACTAGTATTTCTTTATGGAAAGCAGTGTTTTGTTTTGACAAAACCATTTGCTCTTTCAGTAACAAGAGATCAAGAGCTGAACACCAGATTAGCCTGAGAAAAAAATAGCCTGTTAATGAAAATGCCTAGAAGAAAATTATTTCCCATCTGCAGTCTCTTTTCAGCAATATCTAGAAACAGACAAGTCTTTAATTGCCACGTGTCAATAATGGATCATATTTTTCATTTGTATAAGACTTTAATTTGTGAGACTGTTACCTACTTAATATTTATAATTATTTGTGAAAAGACCTCTGCACAGCTTTAACAACAAATAGTCTTAAATACTTGCAGCTTCAGCAACACCTCCTTAGATGCTTTTTCCTGCTTCAAGAAAAAATTAGTCTATGGAGCATCTAGATCTTTAGGTTTGTTCAGAAATAGCAGGCATGCTCTACTATTCAATATATTTTAGTATCACAGTTCTTACTGAGTGCCAGCTACTTGGTTTGTCTTTTACAGGATTAAAAATAAACCACTTCTTTTAATGCTCTCACTATGCATGGTTTTGTTTCCTGTTCTTTTTTTATTTAACTCTGCAGATAAATCCTACCAAAAAAAAAGTGTAACAAGCAAGTTCCATATTCTGAAAAGTTTATTTGTACAATCCGTAACATGCTTTGTTAAAGACATAATTAAAATTGCAGTGCAGAATTTTGAGAATTTTTGGAAGTTCTTTGAATTTTATGTGGTATTGTAAATATTTCCAGAAAATTCCTAAGTAAATATTCAGGAGCTATTCAAAATACTTCAGAACACACCCACAAGTATCGTAAATCACTGAGCAAGTGCAGTCAATAACACTCTCTTTATCTAACAAAGTTTGTTACAGAATTGGTGGTCACGACGCAAAATGAAGAGAGGAGGCCAGTTAATGGAGCATAAAGTTTCTCTGCCTCAGTGGGAGAAAGATTGGAATCTGCAGCCCATGAACCTCCATGGTTTAATGGATGAATACTTAGAGATGGGTGAGTGACTCGAGGGAGGTGCCAGTTGTCTTAAGAAAGTGTTACTTACTGTGTTGCACATGGAAAGATCTTTTGAGTTGCCAGTTTCTAACCCTAGAAATGCCTGTCTAGTTTTACAGTTTGGCTTTACCACCATCTTCGTTGCTGCCTTCCCACTGGCACCTCTCCTGGCACTGCTGAACAACATCATCGAAATAAGGCTGGATGCATACAAGTTTGTCACGCAGTGGCGGAGACCTATGCCTGCAAGAGCAACAGATATAGGTGAGAGAGGCTACTGCTGTCACTGCCAGGTCCCACCTCTTTGTGTTTCCTTCCTCCCTGCACCTTAACCTTGAAATACTTCATGTGTCAAGAGTGAAACTGATAATGTAACCTGCAGATCTCGGTAACAGCTCTCCTGTTAAGCAGCAAAAAGACGCTCAGGTGCTTAGCTAGGAGGACTCCTCAAATTTGCTTTCCATTTCCAAGAAGGGATTGTAATAGTTGACTCCTGAAAACATGCTAAATAGTATTTTAGGCATCTGTGCAACTCTAGGTCTAAAATTATACCCAAAATCAACGGAATTTGGAGATTAAATATAAAGACTACATTCACTTTTAGTTAACAATAGAATTAAAAATAAGCAATCTCTTCCTGTTTGGCCTTTACAGCCAAAGATATGGTTATACCTTTGTTGCTTAGCCATTTCTTCTCAGCAGGATGTGCCCTACTGTAAGACTTCAGGTGGAGCCAGTGGTGCCAGGAATGTGGGATCATGGTTTAACGTTCACTAGTTTTTCTAACCAAATAATTCTTCCTTAATAAAAAAAGAAAACTGTATGGTTAATAATGACTTTAATATCACTCGTATGACTTTGTGTGACTTCATATGACTATAAAAAATTACCTTATTGCCATTTCTCCCGTTTCTAGGTATCTGGTATGGGATTCTGGAAGGAATTGGAGTTTTGGCTGTCATCACCAATGCCTTTGTTATTGCCATTACTTCTGATTACATTCCACGTTTTGTCTATGCATACAAATATGGTCCCTGTACAGATCAAGGATACAGACAAGAAAAGTAATTAAGATATTCTGTATATACACATGGATATTTCAGTGGAAGCACACTTCTGCTCCTGCCTTTTCGTGTTAATATACTTATATAGATTAGTTATGTTTTAACTTTTACAGCTGCGCAAACCTTCACAGGTATTGTGTGAGTAATTCAGCCATTCCAGAGAGTCTGCAGACTAACTCCAGAGATACAGAAGTGGAAAATCACATCTTCCCTTCTGAACGCAAACAGCAAAGTTCACTATATGCTGTTAAAGTTTTCAGGCTTTCTCTAGATAAGCTTTTCTTTTCTGCAGTAGTTCTGGACTGTCTTCTCCCACTGCTCTCCCACACACATTTATGCACCCAAACCCTCTTTTATCCTAAGCTTTGTTCATCCTCAAACGTCCCTGCCTCATTCTCTTCAGAAGTCATAGAATCACTTAGGTTGGAAAAGACCCTCAGGATCAAGCCCAGCAGTAAGGGTGTGCAGGGTGGGGGGGTTGCAGGTGGGTCTGGAGCCCAAGTCCTGTTGCTTCATGGGCAGAGGCTCTTCCATGCCACTGTGGGGTCTTGGCTGGGCTGCTTGAAATTTTTGAATTGCTTTTGTCCTAAGGAGCAAAAAAAATAGTATGCGAGTGGGAAGTGTCACAACATAGGATACATGGTCACTGTATGTGATAGCAGAATATGTTCACATACAGGATGTATGCTGTGCAACCATTTTATGAAGAAAGTCTTGACCCTATGTCTTCTCCCTACAGATGCTTAAAAGGATATGTCAACAGCAGTCTATCAGTATTTGATTTGAGTGAACTTGGGATGGGATACTCGGGCTACTGCCGGTATGTTTCAGTGCTCTCCCTTCTTGTAAGATAGGCATAGATGTTAATACAGACATTAAATTGAAATCATTGCTTAAATTAGTGGCATAATAGTTTCTTCTTTGCCTCTAAAAGCATTTTAGTTCAAGTTTGTTCAACATGGAAGTTGCAGGTGCAAACACTGTGGTAGGATGCAATACTGACAGACTGGAAACCTGTGTTCTGAGTTTGTCCAGGACTCTTGCAAGCCATACCTTTTGTGCTTATGTGAATTATTTAATTTCAAAGTTTTCCCAGCTGCCAAGAAGGATAAGAATTCTCATTTCAGTTTTGTTAAACATTCTGAGGTCTAATAGTTAAAATACAGAAAATTTTTGTTGTGGCTGTAACACAGGTCAAGATCCCAAACAGTTATTTAAAAGGAACACAAGGAATTCAGCATAACAATTAAATGTGGCATTGTGTGAGTGCACTCCTGGTTTCAGATGTTTTACAGGGAAAGTTAGCCTGAATTGACTTTACAGTTACAAGTTACAGAATCATGTTACATTTATGCAAACTTTGTCTGGAGAATCTCATGCTTATAAGCAAAGACAAGAATCTATTTAGAGTCTGCACACTTGAACTTAACACTCTGCGGTGTCAGCTTTGGCAAAACAAAATCGTTTTCTCTGGAGTTTTAGAAGCAAAAAGTGCTATCTTGTAAGCAATTCTCTTTAATTGCCTGTATTGTGGACTGTTCTCCTTTTCTGTTTAATCCCTCCTGAAGTATGATTTCGGTTTTTCTCCTCTTAGCTAGATCTGGGGTAAACTAGGGAGTTCCTCACCGTGTTGAGGTTTTGGAGCGTGGGCTGACTTACAGGGGTTTGTTTGCTTTGCAGGTATAGAGATTACAGAGCCCCACCGTGGAGTTCAACTCCATATGAATTCACTTTGCAGTTCTGGCACGTCCTGGCAGCACGGCTGGCCTTCATCATAGTGTTTGAGGTTAGTCATGGGAAGGAACAATTCCTTTATACTCCTTCAAAGTCCAAGCTGATTTTTTACAGTAGTCTTATAAATAAATTGTCGGTAATGTCAACTGCAATCAGTTCATTACAATCAAGAGAGGGAGAAGAAAGAAATCAACCTCCCCAAAGTGTTGTCAATCAGCTGCTTCAAACTGAATTGACAGCAGGCACAGATTATAGAGTCCCTCCAAAACTGTATTTCCTTAACAGTCATCTTACATCATGTTGGTTCCCAAACAAATCTTTCATGTTTTATTGAAAAAGAAGAAATTAAACTTGCATGTACATACAGTTATTACAAGTTAAAATCTCTGTCAGGGAAATTATACATGATGTGTATGATTTTCTATGATTATATGATTGTATTTATATGATTTTGTAATGGCTCAATGTTCAGATGGAGGATGGTGACGAGTGGTGTCCTTCAGGGGTCTGTGCTGGGACTGGTGTTGTTTAATATCTTCATTAATGATATTGAGTGCACTCACAGCAAGTTTGTGGATGATACCAAGCTGGGAGGTGCAGTTGATATGCCAGAGGGACTTGGACAGGCTGGAGAGGTGGGCTCAGATGAACCTTCTGAGGTTCAACAAGGCCAAAGGCAGGGTTCTGCATCTTGGCCAGGGTACCCAGCACTAGCAGTATAGGCTGGGAGAGGGTTTACTGGAGAGCAGTCCTGTGGAAAGGGACTTGGGAGTGCTGGTGGATGAAAAACTGGACATGAGCCATCAATGTGCAATCACAGCTCAGAAGGCCAATCACATCCTGGGCTGCATCAAAAGAAGTGTGGCCAACAGATGGAGAGAGGTGATCCTGCCCCTCTGCTCTGCCCTGGTGAGACTTCACCTGGAGTCCTGTGTCCAGCTCTGGAGCCCCTAACACCAGAAGGATGCAGACATATTGGAGTGAGTTCAGAGGAGAGCCACCAAAATGATCAAGGAATTGGAGCACCTCTCCTATGAAGACAGGCTGGGGGAGTTGGGGCTATTCAGCCTGGAGAAGAGCAGGTCCTGGGGGGACCTTATAGTTACCTTCCAGTACCTGAAGTGGCCTCCATGAAGGCAGGGGAGGGACTATTGAAAAGGGTTTGTAATGATAGGACAATGAGTAATGGTTTTAAACTAGGAAAAGACAGATTTAGACTCAATATTAGAAAAAAGTTCTTTAATATAAGAGTAGTAGATCATTAGAATGGGCTGCCCAGTGAGGTAGTGGAGGCACAACCCTGGAGTCATTCAAAGTCAGGCTTGGTGGGGCCCTGGGCGTCCTGTCCTACGAAGAAATGTCCCTGCTTGTGGAGGGAGGTTGGACCAGATGACCTCTAGAGGTCCCTTCAAGCCTAAAACATTCTATGGTTCTAGCCTAATATAAAAGTAGAAATGTGTGTGCTAACATTGAAGAACGTGTTACATACTGTCCAGGGTTACTTCAGTTACAAGCTCTTAGCAAAGATTGCTTGTTTGCTGTTGTCACTCACACAAGCATGTCCTGCAGTCGCATCTTCATTCAGGTCTCTGGTTATACCCTTAGTTTTGCTTTTCAGAAGACATCAGCATGTTCACATTTCCGATAGAGTGCTCATTTACTTTTATATTTTTTAATTTTTTAATTACATTTTACATTTATTTTCTTTTTTTTTTTCACTTGCTTATTTACCTGTATATGTGTGTGTATGTATTAAAAACAAAAGGAGTTGCTTTTCAGTCATGAATGAAATCTCAGTTTGTTTTGCCACAGATTTTTAGGCCCTAAAACGTGCAATTATTTTTCTTCTTCTTTTCAGCACCTTGTTTTTGGAATAAAGTCTTTCATTGCCTACCTGATTCCAGACATGCCCAAAGACTTGTGCGACAGAATGAGGAGAGAGAAGTACTTAGTCCAGGAGATGATGTATGAGGCTGAACTGGAGCATTTGCAGAAAGAAAGGAAAAAGAATGGGAAACAGTATCACCACGAATGGCCTTAGTCGCTACCATGCTGCAGCGAAAACAGCTTGGGAATGGCAGAGTGCAGTTGCAGAATGAGGAGTCTGACATCAGCGTGTGAGGTTCACGGTGTATATCTGTTCTGGGTAGGCAGTACAGTTGCAGGCTTTGGTAGGCAGTGGAAAATAGATGCTTCCAATGAAGAAAATGAAAAGCCTTACCTGTAACTGGTCTGTGGTGAGCACTAAGGAGAACTGGCACTCAGGAATGTGCGGACAGATTAAAAATCTGGACTCTCTGGTTTAAAAAAAGGCAATGAATTTTTATGCTGTTCATGAAGATACTAACAGCATCATGAAAATACAAAATTACCAGTGAACTTATACAGTAAGGGCATGACTAAAACCAACTTACATGATATCCACTACTGCAGCTTCTGATTGCTCAGCTCCATCTGTAACGCCTCTGAAGAAGAGCAGTTGTTGCCTTTGTGGCCAAAACTTGGTATAAGCGATCTTTCAGGCTTACTGTTTTGTCAGGTTTGTCCTAGTCTCTTGTTGAGATTGTGGATGTGGTCCTACCCTAAAAAAGGGGTCTACGCCTGCTTAATATATACTATGCAGTTGAAGATTTGCACATCAGCGTCATTAATTTATCCTTCTAGTTGAAAACCAAAAATCCTGAATTCCAAGAGAAAACAGCAGCACTGAGAGGAGGCACCGTGGTGCCCACACTGCAGCTCTGTCTGAGAGTGACACGGCCCTTGAGTGGTCTGTCCACTTCTGTGTGCAGAGAGGCCACCTCCACACACCTCCAGGGCGAAAGGCCTGTGGGTGTGAGTGTGGCATGCATGTGTCTGTGTAACTGTGCCCTTCGACCTGGCTGGGCCACGACTCCATGGCTTCACAGAATGCTAACCTGAAATACTCTCATACAGTGACGTCTTGAATATACAATTAACTCTTTATCGTATGCAAGCTTATGCAGCTATATATCAGACATGCAGTATAACGTTGTGACTTGCTTGTTCAGGGAAGGAGGCAGAGCACTTTATAGTAACACTCCTGTTGTCATAGCACATGTTCCAGTAACGTGCACTTCTTTTATTGGCCTAAGTGAGTCCCAGCATGGGGGTTAGATATAGGCAGATATGTATACAGATTGTATATTAATGCACACACACACACACAGTGGTTACTTTAAGATTTTTTTATTATTATTTGTATGCCTTCTTACATTTTGGAGGGGGGGGCCTTTTTGGATAAAAACGCTATAAAAGGTAGATGTTCATGTAAAGATGCAGATTTCAGTTCTTATGTCCATATAACAGTGATGCTTACGGTTATAGTCACATTTTGGTGATGAAATTGTCTGTTACTAACATTTCATAATGTGGGAAAAGATAAGCACTTCATTTAAACAAGTGTGCAGGGTTCAGTTGCGGAGAAGGGAGTGGAGAAACAGTTACAATCATTCTATTTGTCTGGTACCATTTTTACTAATGCTTCTCTATATTGGATGAGAAAAAAAAAAAAGAGTCAGCGAAGCACAGTAACTATAACACTATTTTTAGGGATAAAGCTACAGCAAAACTGCTGACAGGTATGAAGAGACCTGAATTTTTACTACATAAAATACCCTAATGAACAGAAAGTGTGATTCCAGTATTTACTTGCACGTATTAGCACAATAATTTTCTTTTAAAATTCATAAAATGAATTTTAAGAGTCAGGAGCCCATCAAAATGGATGAGTATGATCTGTTTTATCCAGGGGGCCTAGCATCAGACCTCAAGTTCTATAGTAGTTTCACCATATTCACGAGATATATTGGTTAATTCCAGCTCTCTGACCAGACAAGGCAACTGTAGGAGTATCTACAGTATTGCACAAAGGAGGAAAGAGTTTGGAAGGTATGGTCTGATCAACTCTTCCCCACTAGTATCATAAAGAGCTGGTGGAACTCAGCTTCCCATACCTTAGAAGGGCTGTTTTGTTCCTTCCTGTTCTCGGTTGTTCCTCAAGGAGTCTTTATCAGAAGTAATTAATGCACTCTTCTCAGTGCTTATAGAATCACTCCACTGGATTCTAATTTATTGTCTCTCTTTTGTTGTGTGAGATGTCAAGCACCGTTTGACAGCGTGTTAACCATGTGCCACAGGTTCTGTTTCTGTGCCATGTAGTGATAGCACTTCAGTTCTTCAGAAGGTCACAGATGAGCTCTCTTTTTAATGTTTTTTCTAAAACCAACATGCCTTGGCTGGCCCAAGGTATAAAGATACTGGATAAAATCGGGCAAAAATCAGAAATATTGATTGATTGTTTTATACTTTCCTGTTTCAGCTGTGGATATTAGCACATGTCAATACATACTTAGGCATATTCCAATTGGACTTAAAAAACACATAGGAAAGAGAACCTTTTTGTATTTGAGATTTAAACAGATCTATTATTAATGATTTTCAGCACTGTTGTAGAAGGGTATATAAGAGGCAGGTGTGTAGATCTGACGTTGTGCATTTTACACACTGGAAAAGCACAAGAAGTTCTGGAGAAAACACTGTGTGTGTGTTCCTTTACTTTTGGAGGACATCAACAATGTCTAAAGGTTTTGCCACTATCTAGCCATTTGCTTAAGCTGAGAAAACTTTTTGCTAGACTTGTTTAGTGTGCTGTTTGCATTGACTGCACGTTATTTTACTGAAGTGTAAGGCACACACTGTCCTCAGGAATAATGTATTTTATAAATGGTGAATGATCTTTTCATATTCTAAATATTGTCTTTCCAAACAAATGACCAGTATGAATAGACTGTGCATGCAGGCTGCGTTTGTGAAGTCTCACAAAGCTTTAGAACTTCAATTTGTGTAAAAATGCTTTAGATTATTGCAGACCTAACCTATGACAACTTTGCTCTATGCATGCGCCCTTAGAGAGACTGCACGAGCAACTAGATATTTTTAAATGCAAAGGATTAGTCCAAAATGTCTTAATTATTCCTAACCAAATTCCATATCTTGATTCAGACAGAAGAAATTTCCATTTCAGAAATAGCAAAAAGTCTATAGGCATGATACACATCTCATTTCTAATGATTTTTCATTTTAAATTTGTGCCTAATGTGTGAGATCTGAATTCTGGTGACTGAAAAGAGTTCTGCTTCATTAGCTGTCCTAATGAGAGGTTCCTTCTTGGAGCTCAGAGCCTGCCTCCATGGAGAGGGATGCATCAAGAGCTCAGTACCCACAACTGAGCATGGAGGGGGCTGCCTGGAGATGAAGCAGGGGCTCTCTGTGATTCAGTTGCCTCACCAGAACGACAGCACAGTGATGGGGCAATTGGAAAAAAGGCAAACCACATGATGACTATTTGTTTTATAGTTTTTTCCCCCTCTCCCTTTCTGATCTGAAGTGATTTTTAGAGGAAATTTAGATGAATATTGAAATTAATGTTGATGATGACAAGGCTAAAATTTCCATAGTGGTGATGGATGATGTGTGTTTTTTTGTTAGAAGTTTCTTTGGGAGTACATATCTTCATTACTACAAAACACACATCAGCAGTTGCCTTTTTCCAACAGCAGCATGTCTGGAGTTGTGTTCTGGGGATCAGTTAGGCTCAGTTGTGTCCTACGGAAAGCTCAAAAGAAAAATGTCTGAGGGCCTCGTGAAAATTGGTCAATAGGTACATACCTTAATGTGTAAATTCATAAATCTCCTGAGGTTTCCTTCATAAAAAGTTCTGCAGAGGGAAAAATATCTTGGGAAACACAGCTTTAGGGTGAGTGTTAATATGAGGAAAGACAAGAACTTTGGTGGTATTTTATTTTTATTGTGCCATTAGGATGGTCAGTCCACTGCACAGTGCTCATCTGCTGGTCCCTTGCTGCACCTCTGCCACTGCAGACTCCGAAAGGGAGTGCTGCCAGGGAGAAGTGCTGGAGCTGTGGGACCCAGTGGCATTACCTCCAAAATCCCATCATGGCACTTATTAATATGTTGCATTATGTCACAGTTCATTCAGGGGCAAATTAGTACTTATCTATTTAGAAGGATCTCATTTTGGTTAACTAAAACTTGTTCATGTCCATGAATTTGAAAGAAACAGTTCATACATAGCAAACTTTTAAGTTTCACAGATTTTCATTAAAACTATTATAAACTAGATCTTTTACATACACTGTCAATAAAACTCATGTTATGCAAACAGCTAAATATGAAGGCAATAAAGTTATTGGAAAATCAAACAACCACATTTTCTAGTAAGTGTTACATAGGAAAAAAAGGGACATAGATAAAAACAGTGGTTTCAGCCATCCCTTACAGTGCAGTATTACTTTCAGAAGCATTTTATTTTTTCTAATCCTCATAAACTACTGGTGTTGCTTATAAACATACAGCCAGCCTTTCATGATAGTGTGTGTTTGGTATTAAGGCTGACACTAGAACCCAAACAGAATTCCACACTTAGACAGACTTGTTATTTCATTAGTTCCAGTGCATAATTTGTCTGGCTAAAATGCATGCAGTGACACTTTTTGAAGATGTTTAAGTGAACTGCAAACCAAAATTCCTGTGGTGGAAAATTTAGCAGTTTTGAGAAGACCTCCAAGTCTCTTCATACTCAAACTCACGCTCGCAAAGCCCGTGATCTACTGGCATAAAATGCAACGAGACAGCGTGTGAGGGCTGAGGATGAGCAGAGGAAGAAAAGGTCTCTTTACTTCATCAAGTTTTTCTCCAGAAGTCTGACAGGTTCTGCAGAACAAGGGTTTGAAAGTGGAGCATGGCAACAGCCCTCCTGATCCCTTTCTTTTTCTCCTCTGGCTCATTCTTTGCTTCTCCTCAGTGATTTATTAATGATGCCTTCTTGCTGACAGTCCAATTTCCAGGCCAATTCTGTAACTGCAGAATTTTTCACAGGCTCTTTTTGGATGTCCCTAACTGAGAAGCCAAAGCAGAAAGTGCACAAATACCAGTTGTGTCTGGTGCTTTTCACAACTCTGAAAGTGCTGGGGGGAGCACAAGGTTCCCCCAGGTCAC